ATAAATGCGAATCAATTCAAAGGTTGGCGTGCAGAAGCATGACTGTCAGTATCGCCGTGTCACAGCTGGGGCTGCAGACTGAGCATTGTTAAAGTCAAAAAGCAGGAAGAGACTGAATATTACAGGAAAACATGTCGAAACCGGACAGTACCAAGCGACAGCCCGTCACCGGGACTGGGCGCTTCATCAGCGGCGTAGTAGAAGGTGAGCAGACCCGGAATCAGGGGCCCAAACACCGCGGCTCCGCTAGATTACAGGTTCTTGAATGCTTCCAGCTACCCGCTTTAAAATGCATCTGATTAATCAATCATGCATTGGTCACTTTTGGTAAGATGACGCGTTTTGAAGTGTAAGTCGACCTTTGCTTGTTACAGGCTTTTATGGGCGGCCGTGGACTATGGAGCAAAGAACAGAGCTGTTTAAGAGGTATGTGGCACCAAGCGAAGAACTGGAAATGATGAACACATTCCTGAAAGTAATAACAGCAGCTGCTGCTTTTGACATATGTAATATAGCTGTATTCACATTCATGTATTTATTTATTTTTAAAATATCCAAAACTACAGTTGCGCTGAATCATTTACATAAATGAAATGACATGCAAGTGATTTGCATTGCTTTTGCCACAGTTTCTCTTACACTGGCAATTTCGGTTGTTATTTTCTGTTATTACTAAAAGCTTTTATTGTGATCAAGATGTGCACCAACATTTAAAAATGTTGCACTGAGAATTTCTAACCTCTGGCATAATGTTTTGGTTTTGCAGGGAACAGAAGTGGGGTTTGAACACATACCTGTACGCCCCCAAGGATGATTACAAACACAGGATGTACTGGAGAGACTTGTACGCTGCTGAGGAGGCCGGTGAGTCTCACCGTATCACATTCATAATTCAAAACCACAAAAATCTTTCTGGTCTTGGAAGCAGATGAAATTCAGTTGCACCTGTCTTTAATTTTAAAAGTAACACTGACTAATGCCCTGATCTATTAGCAGAGCAGTTGTGCCTCCATGCATAGTCCGCTACCTTAACAAATGCCCATTTAAATAAAAAATCTGTACTATATTTCCTCCTCAGTATGTTAAACAACTTACTAATTTGCAACATCCAGTTAACTGCAATGAAACTGAAACAATGTGTTTCAATTTACGTGTGCATATCTGAGTCTTCATTCAATAGTCGTTCAAAACTCTGGTTATAAATTGAGCCCCAAACAATAAAAGTAAATTAAAACACATAAAATGATAAACGTTTGGTCATTTTGCAGTTGTCAGCTCTTCTGAACTCATCCTTTTACGACTCATTGTTATCTCCTCAGACGTGTTTAAAGTGTCTTTGGGTCGACTGTCTAGATGTTATCAAAAGAATTACAGTCTGAAGTGCAGTGAAGACGATTTGATGTTTAACCTTTTTCAAACTATCATGTCTTTGATGACCCCTCATCAAGTCAGTGGACTTCAGACCCACCTGTATATGCTCGTAAAGTTTCCCCGCAGACACAAAAGCAGCTAAATCTAAGGTTAAACCATGTCACTTGAACTCTTTGTTTTAAATTTGTTCATTGATGGGAAGTAAAGGGATCATTAACAGAATTTGTGAACTGCATCATCAAATAGCATTTGTTCTTTCTCCCTTTTTCTTTTCATAGAACAACTAATGAGCCTGATATCAGCAGCGAAACAGCACGACGTCGAGTTCGTCTATGCAATCTCACCCGGTCTGGACATTACTTTCTCCAACCCTAAAGAAGTAGCTGCCCTGAAGAGGAAACTAGATCAGGTAGGACTTTGGAAGCAGAGGTGATGGGTGCAGCAGGAAAAAATATAATTTATAATTGGTTGTATCTCACTTTGTGGCTCTCCGAGGGTTTGGACAGCACATCACTTAGCAGTAAAATGGATGCATTTAAAGTGGGGTAGTAAAATTATACAGAGGCTGGTGTAATTCTAGGTGGAATAGCCTTTTTTATGTCATTGGCTGTAAGCAAAGCGGTGCTAACTTTCACTTGACCCTATTCACTGACGGAAATTACATTTGTCCCTTAGGTCAAGGAGTTTGGCTGCAGGTCTTTCTCTTTACTCTTTGACGACATCGAGACTGAGATGTGTCCAGCTGACAAGCAGGCTTTCAGCTCCTTCGCCCACGCTCAGGTGGCCATCACTAACGAGGTGTACATGCACTTAGGAGAGCCCGAAGTCTTCCTCTTCTGTCCTACAGGTCAGACAGCAAAACAGTCCAGTCCAGTTACAGTCCAGTTAAACAGGGAGCGTTGTGGTAGAAAATAATACACATTATTCTAACAGTTTCTTAATGATTCACTCTTTATCTTCAGATTACTGTGCTGCCTTCTGTACGCCCAGTGTAACCCAGTCCTCGTACCTGAACACGGTGGGAGAGAAGCTCCTGCCTGGCATTGACGTACTGTGGACTGGTAAGATTACACTCAGCCGGAGCCTGAACCTGTTTCCATGATCTTGAATTTCCCAAAGGTTAATTATTCATTTGTTTTTACTTTTTTTTTTTTCCATTTATTTAGGTCCAAAGGTAGTATCCCACAAAATCTCAGTTGAATCCATAGAGGAGGTATCCTCAGTCCTGAAGAGGGCACCAGTCATCTGGGACAACATTCATGCCAATGATTATGATCCCCAAAGGCTTTTCCTTGGACCCTATAAGGTTATTTTTTCTCTTCTTTATTTTAACAGTGTTAGATTGTGTGTATGTACCAGTATGACTCCGGTGTCTATATATTATTGTTTTTTTCAAAAAGGATAGACCCACTGATCTGATCCCAAAACTGAAAGGAGTGCTCACAAATCCCAACTGTGAGTTTTACCCAAACTTCGTGGCCATTCACACTCTGGCAACATGGTGTAAAGCACCTGCCGAAGGAGCACCGAGGGATGTGGAGATGGGTGAGTTTCTGTTAGTCATGATTTAACAAATGCATTTTTTTTGTCTTTTGTAGAAGGTAAAACATTACAGGACTACCCTCAAGTGCATTCGGCAACTGTGTAGGAAGTAATTTGCAACCATAATATAGTGAACCCAACCTGAGTGCTCAAAGCCAACAGTCTGGCCTTTCTCCTCTGGCCTCTGGCATCAACAAGGTTTTTTCTTTTCCTTTTTTCCACAAAGAGTACTTCAGCCTGCCTGACACCAACAACCACGTCATGACAGTCAGACGTCATATTTAAAAAGAAAAACATGCACTTTTTGGAATATTTTGAATACTATTTTTTGCTTCATAAAGCCCACCCCGCCTGAATCACTGTTGTCTGTGGAAGCAACATCAACATCTATTTATGGTGCCGATTTTTTTTCCAGTTTTGACAGGAAATGCTGTCAGCGTTGTCGTTATGTTTGCTGGAATCCACTCCATGCTGTCTGTGAGGTCACGGAGCTTAAACATTGTCTCACTTTCTCCGACCTTCACCTCCAGGTGATGAAGAGCAGGATCCTTGCTACAGCCCACAGAAAGCCCTGAATCTGGCCCTCACTGACTGGCTGGAGGAGTTCATGAGCACAGATCAACCAGGAGGTAGAGTCTTATTAAATATGGTTTAATGATATTAAAAGACATGAACGGGTGGTTGTCACTTTAATACACGGCATGTCTATGCTTCCAGGCCCTTGTCATCCTCGCCTGAAGAAAGAGTCATCAGAAGAGGAGCCCATGCAGACAGACATGGGTGAGAGCCCCTACATTCCTGGTGCCGGGGAGAACCCATTGTACACAGCTGAGCCTCTGACCCTGGATGACCTGAAGCTGCTGTCAGACCTCTTCTACCTGCCCTACGAACACGGTACCACAGCCAGGGCCATGCTGCAGGAGCTGGACTGGCTCAAAAACCAAAGTCAGGCAGCAGCTGCAGAGACAGACAAGGTAGTATTTATATTTATATACAAACACAGATCATTTTTCTACATGTTGTCCTCCTACAGCTGTTTTCTGTTTTTTCAGACAGCAGAGTGGTGCTCAAGAGCCCAGCAGTTCGATAACATGTGTGAGGCAGTGGTGCAGATGTTCAACCGCCTGTCAAATGCCCCGAACCGCAGCATCCTGTACGACCTGTACAACTACATCTGTGACATCAAGAGTGGGGTCGGTCTGGCTCGAGCCTACGTGAAAACACTAGGTGAGAAAACGAATATATTCCACTCATATTGCAAACCAACACTGAAAGACGTCGCAGACCCCTTAGTAGCAAAAATTTCCATATCACAATATGGACAAAATAACACTTGATAAACAACAATAAACTCAAATTTACATCTATATAAACAAATATTTCTTGAATTTTTTGAAGAATTCTGAAACTAAGAAATGCTGGAGTATCTCTTGCAGTTTGTGTGATTTTCTGCTCCCACTGTTACCTGTAATAAGAGATGAGCTTGAAAGCATTTTTTTTTCAAACAAAAACTGCAGCAGCCATGAAAATCAGCAGGGAACTGCATTTAGATTATCAGCTCGATGATTAATCCTTCCATCTTTTTAAAAGAAGTGATTATGCTTTGGTTAAATGAGGCGTGAAAGTGTGAACCGAAGCTGCTTACTGTAGCTTTTAATATTTTGTTGTGTGTTGCCTTCCACAGGAGGCCACAGCCAACCCTCAGCCCAGTTATTGAACGATGATCCTGAACCTTGGGGCTTCAGAGGAGGCCTGTCTGGAGAATTCCAGGTAAACAAAGCAGTGCAGTGAGTTGTTATATAAAATCACAGCAGTGATAATAATCAGTAACAAGGCAAGGCCTCCAGCTGATATTTTGTGCTCCATATTTTATTTTTGCACTCCACTAGAGTAGCTTTGCATTATTCACAGATCAAAATAATGCATCTTTATCTTATACTGAGTGCAGCTCCTTGGTTCTTCTACTGTCTCAAACAAGCTGCTTTATATCCTCTTCCTTCAAGCCAGCTTTCATTTGATTGGCTGCCCTTCATAAAGGTGGGCGGGGACTCCAGTGCTGTGTGCCTTGACATCATCAAGGTCCAAGAGTTAAAAAAAAAAAAAACAACTAAAAACAAAAACTGTCTGTGAAACCAAAAGCAATCTGATGTCTGAGCTTCTGGCTACAGTGATTATGTGCACAAACGTTTATTTTATTGTTTTCATGTTTAACGTTACCATCCATCTGTAGTGCATACTATATAAGCACCACCTTGTGATGCTAGATCCACCTGATTTTTAAACTTTGGGTTTCTGGTGTCTGTTTTCTTCCGCACCAACAGAGAATGCTGCCAGGACATGGAAACAGAGACCTGTTCAGACATCCTCCCATGACAGCAGTTTACTGCATACGACCCTACTGCCCTGAGGACAAGGTGAAGATGCTGATCATCAGTGATTTAATTTTCTGTCGATTAAAATTTAGGAGTGTTGTTATGGAGTATTTCTTTTTCTTTCTAGCCAGAGGTAGAAAGGATTTTCAGGGAGATGCAGAAAGCAGGAGAAGGCCACTCTGCCTTGATGGCTCAGTCTCCACTTATCAGCGACAGGTAAGAGTCAGCTACTCTCTTAGTGATGCGACCTCACTAACCACTTTCCTCATGTTGATTTTTGGAAACTGTGGTCCTCGTTATTAAAAGTCCACGTGATTCACAAGTTGCACAAGCAGGAAGCATGCATCACTCCTCGAGTTCTCAGGAAAAACCGCCCCTCACTTTGAACGTCTATTTTCAAAACACCAAGATAGTAACAAGTGATGTCACGATGGCTACAGCACTCTTTTATATACAGCGGGTGTATTGTTAAAACGCACTTTAAATTACTTGGGATGATAAACTTTTTTTCTTCTGTGAATGTGATCTTCCTCTTCATCTTATTTTTTTTTCCCTGGGGCATTGCAGCCTGTCAGCAGGTGAAATCTCTCCTTCCCCTCTCTGTGGTCTTATCCTGGAGGATGACCTCGGGCTGTGTGGCTATGCACTGGCCCTCACTGATGCCAAACCAGCTGCAGCCAAGATCCAGGTGATTCAAAGCAAGATGTGAATTTTTTTCTAGAATGCAGTATAACCATAAATGCTGTCACTTGACTGTATTCTATTTCCAAACTCCAGAGGGCAGTAAGTGGTTCAGTGTTTGAAGAGTTCCCCTCAGTGATTGCTCTGGAAATGCTCCCTCGGGTCACTGATCCTTCTCCAGCCAAGCGCATGATTGGTCAGCTGTTGTCCTCCATCAGGAGCAGTGGTAGGTCAAGATTTCACACTGTGAACTTGATCGTTCTGGACGAAGCTCATCTAACTGCACATGTTGAGGTTTATGAGGCAGAAAATTAACCACATGGGGGAGCAATATCATTCTATATCTATAGATGTTTATAATATAAGCTGCTTTGCTGTTTAAGGGCCCTGTTATGGTCTTTTCCAACTCCACGTGTTTGTTCTTGGGTTCCAGTAGAGTGGCTTTGCTTGAATCACAGTTCATAATAATCTTATGCTGTGTTTCAGTTCATCCTGTATGAAATAAGACATTTAGCTCCTCTTGTCTTTAAAGCTACCCTCAATTTAAGGCAACTTTCTTCTGATTGGCTGCCCCACTCAGAAAGAAAGTTTAAGCAGGAGATAGGTGGGGCTTTGACGACCATACTAGGGATGCATGCAGTCACCAACATCATAAAGAGAAACTGTAGGAAACTGAGTGTTTTGAGCAGGTTGAAGCCCACGCTGTTAGCTCACAGGGGTTACTTTTACACATACTGACCTTATGATTTGAAATGCGTTCCAAGATTGTGTGTATCCACCATTCTAACAGTGTATGTATGAAAGAAAGTCAGGAAAAGCATAATGGTCTCCTTTTAACACCCCCATATATACCTAATTATAAAGTTAGTGTCAGGATATTTGCATCTGTGGAATACTTCACATAAAGCTTTTACTGCTCCTTTTATTACAAAACTCCAAAGTTACCATTGTTGTTTTCCTTTCAGGGTCCAGAGGAGCCTTTTGTGAGTTGAGGCAGAGCAATCGGAGGATGCTCGACTTTTATTCCAAACTGGGCTCCTTCAAACTCGTACAGACGGACGGGCTACCGCAAGACATCCTTGTAATGGCAACGAGCCTGTGAAAAAGACTGCTCATGAGTACTTTCCTCAGGTTTGAAATGAGGAGATAAACATCTGCTATGTGACCAATCGCTAACTTTGGAGCATGTTAAACTGATTCAAAATGTTTTCACGTTAGGCGGTTAATCGGTGTGATCCTGCACCCATTGCCAAGTCTTTGAAAGGCCTGATTAAATCTGAATACGAACTAATGTATAGTGAAAAGTGTAATGCGTTACTATAGATTTTGTAGACATGAAACTGTAAAATGTATAGGTATTTTTTAGATGAATTTGTTGATTTAATCAAGTTAAATAAATGCAACGAAATACCACAGCAAATGCAACATTAAGATTTTGGTTTCTTGTTTAAATCACGATTCACACGCGAACATTTAAAGGAGAAGAAATTTTATTAATATATTTTCAGGGGATACAGGGAATATATATTAATGATTAATTATGGTTACATTAAACAGCTGGTGATTCACATGTTCTCTGGCTTGAGAAGCTCATCATAATTACTCAACACATGTGAGGCAACATTTAAGCTGAGGGGTGTAATAGGAAGCAAGTTTGGTTTAGTCAGGCTTTCTTTGCATAAGCTGGTTTGACAAAACCTTCAGTGACAATTAACGTACGTGTGTGTGTGTGTGTGTGTGTGTGTGCTCAGACAAGCTTACACACAGAACATGTGGACAGTACCCCTCTGATCTGAAAACCTTTTATTTTCAATGGTTTGTGCAGCAGTGAGCAAAGCACATGTGGAGTGCAAGATCTCTTGCTGGCACCACGGTCAAAGTTAAAAAAAGATGTAGAGCCTGACCACCAACCAGCCAAAAGAAACCAAGAATCCATTGGTTGTGTTCTGATTGGCTAACAGAAAATCAAAGAAGAGGTTGTAGTGTGTGTGTGTGTGTGTGTGTGTGCAGAACTGTACACCTGTTTGTAACTAGACCACATGATTAAAGGCCTTATACATTTCAATCCAAACAATCAATAAGTCTACAGGTTTACTAAAGCTAAAGCGGTAACAATGATACGAAGTAAAGAAATCAGAGTGACATCCTGCTGGAAGATCTGAAAACTGAAAGCAGCTTTAGGCCTTTTGCTTCAGGCTCTGTGCTCACTCACATGAAAGGGGGGCATTTGATGTCCTTTGACTCTCTTCTGCACAACATAAACCGATGGAGTGCCAATCAGCAGAAATGGGTCATGAAGTGATATGAAGAACATAAAAAAATGTATTTTTCCATGCAGTGCAAACTTCATGCTGGGGTTTATTTTCTAATATGACAGCTGCGTATTACAGCTTTTAAACTGGATCCATTTAAACATTCAAACTGTATTTGAGTCTGAGAGTTCCTCATAATGAAGACGATATGGGTCACTCAGTCTTTGGTCCGAATTAAAGTGAATAATTGATTTTCTTAAGTGAATATTATTTTTAATAATTACAGACTAATCAATTCTCTGGTCTTCTATCGGGATGTCATACTGACAGTGTAAACTAGACTTAGTAACAAAGTAAGACCAAAGAAAAACACCTATTTATGCATTTTCTGCATCACTAAGTTGACACAGTTTGTGCCACAGTAACTGTACTGCACTGTTGTTCAGTAGTACCTGAACAGGTTCTATATAAAAATGTATCCCCTCAGACGGGAACGTGTCACTCTTAGAGCATGTCATGAGAGAACAAGTGAGTAAAGCATGCTGGTCTGTAAAACCCAGATTACATTCAGCATAATGATCTCAAACGAAAGTAAAAGAGAAGTCACCTTTGTGACACTGAAAACTTTGACTCCAAACTCAACATATCTCACTACTTGCTTAATTTTGCTGCATAGTACACCCCTCTAGACTTACGTAGCATAACTTATCATTTATAGAACAGCCGATATAAAACACGTGAACATGTTTGGGCCTGTTCCGTTTCTATTATGACAAAACCTCAGTGTATCCAAAAGGATAAATAAAATCCAAAGCAACAAGTGACCTTAAATATTTCAAGTAATGTAAGAACATTAACTTTTATTTTTTTTAAATGCTCCTTCGTCTCATTTCCCTGAGTGTCTGACCAGCAGAGTTCGGCTGCAGGAAAGGAGATCTACATCTTATCTGGTGTTTAACAGACTCAGTAGTGTCAAACCAGGAAGTTTAGACAGAAATGTAGCAGTGCTTAAATTAAGTAGTAATGCCTTTAAAACATTTGTTTTTTGGCTGCATCAGTCAGCCAGTCTGTGGTTGGCGACACACAGCTACGCTTCAGGGTTTCCCTTTTAACTTTTCTTGTGTCTCTCAATAATCGTAGTTGTATAATCTCTGAATCTGGTCACATCATATTGCACAGGAACGCTGCAGATTCAGCACTGCCTCTTTCAAATAAACTCTAGCCCTTCATATTTTACATCTCCTATCTTTGTCTCAGGCAGCAGCACCTGGCCGTCTAGTGTAAACGCTATGATGTAGGTGGCAATCTTGCCTGCATCCTCCTCTGATTTTAGGGCTAGGATGATTTGATCATCTGTGTCTGGGACAAATTTAAAAGAGGAGAAGCCACGTGTGAGGTTGAGCGGTCCGACGCGCTGCACGCTGACGGAGCGGAAGTCTGCAGGGCAGGACAACAGGAGGTTGGTGGCACGCCGCTCATCTGCCGTCTCTTCATAACGCTCGTGACTGGCCCGGCGAGGGAGGAAGAACCACCGCTGGAGACGCTCACTCCAAGCTGCTGATTCGTGGATAAGGTAGCCTAGAGAACAAAGACAGGTAACGGAAATGAATGCAAGGAGTTGTGGTTAATTTTCACATTTCACAATGTTTTGTCCTTTCCCAAATATTTTGGTTTCAATTATTTTTTAAGCTCTTTGTTTTGTGCTTGAATTTGGCTTTTATACATTATCAAGCTTCCCATTAAGCCCAGTTATACCAGAATTCAAACCCAATTTATGCTTAAAGTCTTTAGTCTCTATAAACCAATGTATAGCAGTAGCTGTGGGCAAGAGACGGGATTATTGGCACGACAAGGATTCAGGTTTTGGTTTCTAGTTTAAATCACATGTGAGAGCAGGCCATGTGGAACGCATAAGGGGAATAAAATGAAACCCTCTCACAATTGTCTGAAGACAACTTAGCTTTGTATAAATTTTTTTTTGTCCTCCAGTTAACCTTGACATTCCCACAGAACAGAAAGTCTTAGCTCGCATATCTAGTTGACTACATCAGAAGACAAAGTGTTGGGAGGACAAAAGTGCAACTTTCTCTGATGTTTAGCCAGTTCGTGAGAGAGAAGTAGTTGACCTCTTACTTAACAAGTGCTGACTGTTACCTGTGTGTTACTGTTCTGTTACATAACCCATAAACCAAATGTTTTTGGCTGCACAGAAGGTAAAAAGAGTAAAAAGTTGGATTAAGCTGGGTTTTTTGGTAATGTACAACTTTGTGGACTGCTGTTGTCATCATAGCAGCCATGCTGGCTCATGAGAGGATTACAAAACATTTCCTGTCTCCGTCTGCATTTCGCTACACTAACAGGGAAAACGGGGCCAGCTTGATTTTGGTCCGACTGTAGTTTCAGAAGAAAACTGCAAATACTAGTCCTAAAAAAAAGATATGAAATCTGTATTTAACAAAAACAAACAAAAAACCTCAAAGCAGTAAATCAGTGATTTTTGTTTTAATTAAATAGGCAAATATAACATAAGCATTTAGCAAAATTTATAGGTTATAAGTTGGTCTACAAGAAGTTTAATAATAAATAGAAATAAAGCCTGATTACTAATTCAGACTGTACTGAAAAACAAAACAAAACAAAAAAACCCAAAACACACCCAACTGTACCTGGTGGTTTGATCCCCGCTGCACTCCGTAGGGCGTTGTAGTGCGGCACCCAGTTTTGATGCTCCACCTCCCCACTGATGCCAACAACTTTTACCCACTCGGGATTGTTGTTGATGACGTCCCCAGAAGTCGTCGTCCATTCCTTCCCCAGGCCTCCAACAAACAGGTGCTCATCCTTTACTGCGAGCCACTCTGCCTTGAAACCTGCACAAGCAAACAAAAGACACATAAGTGAGACATTTTTGGTTGTTTATTTTCAAATGAACAAAGAAAAACTGTTTTGACAGCACCAGTGTTTGACTAACCAAGTGGACTACCATGCAGTGGTTTAGTTTCATCATATTTAATTTATTGCCTAATAGTGGATTTACATGAGCAGTGGTACGCTGAATTATTGCTAAATAAATGGACCATTAACATCCAATGGAGAGTGCATCACAAGTCTCATTACAGCAGTCTCTCTATTGCATTATAAACTGGTTTGAATAGTCTCAACAGGGTGACTGTTCCCTGAAATGATCCCTGAAGTTTTGGAGTCCGTGTTGTGTTTTTAATTTACCAACTTAATTGGCCATCTTTACTCCACCTTAGCATATCCACAGCTGCTGTTATCTGTCTTTATTTCATTAAGAACCATATTGTGTTGTTTAAGACCAGCATATTGTTCAGATTGTTTTCCTCCTCTGGACACAAAGATCCCTATAAACCCAGTAATACATTATATTTGAAAGCGCTGCATTCTGGCACGTTTCAGAAGTCTCCCTGCAGGGACACTTCCTGGTGTATTTTTTCAACACCAGGTTTATCTTTCAGAGAAGCCAGATCAAGTTTCACAGAGCAGGTGCAGAACATGGCAGAAAGATAAAACGAAAACAAAAAAAAACAGCGAATAAACTATTTGCTTCTGAAATGCTCCCAGTGCCGCCTGAAGCTGTGTGAAGAGCACTGTGGAGTTTGTGAGTTGAGACTTCAGGAGTTTTGAAAAGGACTCACCTTTGGAGACTGAGCCATCACCATCAGGTAATATAACCCAAGGAACTGCCTGGTTGCCCTCAATCCTGTACACCACACCTGTACGGTCGTCCACAGTATACAGGTGACCATTGAATGCTACCAGCTCAGATAGCTCCATACCTGCAGAGGAGTTAACACACGTAATTTTAAGCACAAAAACAATATTTAGATGCAACTATAAATCTGAGTTCCTTCACTGAGTTCACGTACCTCGTCCTTTCTCAGCCAGATGACTCTCCAGGGTGACCGTCTCCGCATCCCATTCCACTTCCAGTCTGTCGCCGGAGGCTGAAACAGTCAGGTGACCTCTTTTCATGTAGCTGAACCACGTCTGATCCTTTGAGCTCTGTGATGCTTTGTCCAAGTCTGCAATCACTCCTATGCGGTAACGGGTGCCGTGCAGCGTCTTCTCAGGTGGACTCAAAGGATATGTGTGATTGTACGGTTTTTCCCTCCTCTGCTGGCGGCCGGGTTTTCGTGCAACTTGTCTATT